GCCTCTCTCCCTGACCTGGTTCCCGTGGTTTCGCCCCGCTGCCGTCGACTTCCGAAGCGCCCAGCTGCTGACTAGCATCAAGAAGAAGTCTGAGGCCACGTGGCCCGCGCCCCTTATCTTGGCCGCTGCGCGGAGGGCCAGTCGCTGGAGCCCATTGGTGCATCCTCTGAGGTCGCGCTCATCGGAATCCTCCGCTGCTCGCGGCCGGGGGGGGCCGCGCCCCCTCCCCCCTTGCCGCCCCCTCCCGCGGCCGCGGCCGCGGCCGCGGGCGGGCTTCCTGCCGCCGCGGCGCCGGTCCCATCTGTCGCCCCCTGGTCCTAGCCTTTGCCCTTGCCGCACTTGCAGCGCTTCGGTTGCCCTTCCATCTCCGCGTCTGCCCCCTCCTGGGCGGGCGTGGTCCCCGCGGTGCAATCGCCATCTTTCGCGCAGCGCGGGCCAGGGTGGCGGCGGCGCGCGCGCGCATCTGAAACCCCCCCAGTGATTGAGCCTGAAACCCACGGAGGGTGCAACCTCAGAAAGAAAGCTCTTGGTCACGGTGATTCAAACAATTTTTGCTGTTGCAGCAAATCCCACGACTCTCCGCGGCCCCCATGACATGGTCGGTCGTATATTGTGGGTCGCGAACGAGCTCGGGCACTGCGGGCACTGGTTTGCGATCGCTAGGCTGGCAGCGCTCTCCTGCGCGCTGCCAACTCCGCCGCCGCAGTGAATTTTGCTCCGCACACCTCCCCCCTCATCCCCCACCTCCGAGTAGCGCCAGTACTGTGCGAACAACTCTTCTCCCACCATTATTTCTGGTAGCTTGGTGCCCCAGGTGCGCTCTGCATTCCGTAGTGTGTTGGGGTCTGTTCCAATCCACGCCCCCGGGTCGATCGAGCCTTTCTGGAACATTGAGATATCCACTTGCCTCTTGGGGCATCAGCCTGCCACGTCATCGCTGCCCTCTGCCGGCGCCTGGAACCCCCCGCCCACCTGCTGCGCCCCAGGCGCGGGCGTTTGTCGCGCCCGCCCGGTCTCCAATCTCCTAACTTCGCAGAGGCGGTCCACATTCGACGTTTCAAATGCTGCTGCAAATGCGCTGCCGTAATCCTCTGGGAGTTTCGCCCATTGCCTGTGCCAACGTGGTCTGCTTGTCCTCAGCGCTGCAGCGCAGCGCGGCATCCCCCATGTTTTGAGCACCTCTTTGTTGGCGTAGCACCTGATCGTACCATCCCCTTGAGCCCGACCCATTCTTCATCCAGCCATTCGCCCCGCAAGAATTGCCGCGGCACTGTCAAGCGCGCCACGGTGACGGTCCTCTAATGCAAGTGCCACTGGCCAACTATGGCCCGCCCCTGATACACGCGCCTGGAACATCTCCGCCATTATTGCGTCGGTGGTATCTGAGGACCAGAAGCATCCACATTGCCTGCAGGCTGTCCGCATAGCCTTACATCTCCTCTTGATCTCTCCCGCGCAGCCCTGATCCCCTGGCGGGTGCGGGCCCGGTGCTCGCATCCCCCTCATCGGCGCGCCCTTGAGCTCCTTCCCCCCTTTACAGTTGTCGAGTGATCCCGTCTCGCCCTGGGCCTCGCAGAGAAACCTGGCGGTTGGTTCTGGCTGGGTTCAGCCTGAAACCTCCCTTCGCCAGCCTGCGCCCAACCTCTGCGTGGTAGCGCCGATCTGCTCCGCTATCCTTCTCGCCTGGAATATTCGCCCACCCGCCCTTCTAGCAGGCGCTGCCTGGCGAGCCGAGATGACCTCGCCTGCGCCAACAGCTGACTGATGCTCCGAGACTTCCTGGCTAACCCCCGCCACCTGGGTGGGTGGGCCCGACTGAACCACCGCGTGGATTTTGGCGATGTCGCCCATGACGCGCGAAGAGAGAGGTCGTGCACCTGGTCTGTAACTGGGCCCAACGCATCGCACGCTGTCTGCGCGTCGCCCCCCCCCCCCCTCTCTCCCTGGCGCCGCTGACCCACGTGCAAGTTGCATGTCTCAGTGAACTGCCGCGGGCGCAGAGCAACGCCCATTTGCGCTCCATGAGTAGGCAGCGCGCGCAGCCAGTCATCGGCGCACTCCAGACTCGTCGATGCGCAGTTGCTCGCCTCAACGGCGAAGGGCAAGTCGTCATCCTACGACGTCACGAAAACCGATGCCAGCTGGAGATTGCGCTTCGTGCTCTCGAAGGCGTTGGTGCAATCAAAATTACTGGCGATGGTACGTGCCCCTGCTTGTTTCGCTCTCCACTGCGTTGCTTCGACGCATGCAATAGCGTTCTGCTTTGACCCGTTTCGTGGCCCTCCTAGTGCCCAGCACGGGCGCGTCGAAGCTGAGCCTTCGGTGTGGACCCCCTTTTGGAGAGCCGTTCCCATTGAGCAATGAGCGCGCGTAACTCTTTTCCTTCCAATCCCCTGTTTGTGATTGCTCTACAGAGAATGAACATTTAATTTATCTGTGCCAGCCCAGCGGCGCAGCCCGGGATTGGCGACGCGTAATGAGGGTGTCCTCCAGCATGTCCCTGCGCCCCATACTCTCGTCTGCCTCCATCGCTGTCGACCCCGATCCAGCTTCCTCGGATTTTTCCACATGGCACGTGTTTTTTTTTGCTCTCATCGTCGCCATTCGCCCTCATCGCTCCTCCATCGTCAGCTCTTTCCGTTTTGCCTGGCGCATTTCCTGTTTCCCATCCCATCTCCCGTAGGGTCGCCCTTCCCACCCTGCACTTGTGGAGCGAACTGTACTTATCCAAGTCCCCCTCGTCCTCGCGCAGCTGCGCCGCTCGCATCTTCTGCCCCTCCAACTCCATCACACCTGCTGAGGCCCCCCCCCCCCCCCCGGTTTGACCGCGGGGCCCAGCGTCACCCATGCACGTTCCACTGACACCGCTTCCTGCAGTGCCCCCCTCGCTACCTGCGCCATCATGCACGTTCCACTGGTGCCTCCATGGGGAAAAGCTCTCCTCTTTACCGCTTCCTGCAGTACTTCAGCATGTCACATTTGTCCCTCGCTACCTGCGCCATCATGGACCCGCCCAGCGGCGTCGGCATTTTTTCCGCGATCATCTCGTCGCGCCCCTTCCCGTGCTCTTCTAGGTCCATCGGCTCTGCTGCAAATTCCCTTCGGGGAGGATGCTGCCCCAATTCTCTTACCCATTCCTCTATGCTCCACTGAGTTCGCGCTGAGAAGCAACGCCTCATGGCTGGCCCTCCCCTGCTCCTTTGGCATTCTGCCCTGGGCCAGTGAATTCCGCTGAAGTTGTCGTTCTCGCGCGCCCCCCATATGTCCTCTGCCAGCCTTTTATATCCTTCGGCTTCCACATCTATCCTGTGCCTCCGCGGCGCATTTTGCGCGTGCTTCAGCTCCTCCTCGATCTCTTCAAATCCCCCCCCCCCCCCCCCCCCCCCCCCTGCGAGTCTGACTGCGCCATGCCCATTCTCAACTGCATCCTCTCTGCCAGTGAGGAATGCCTCAGTAGCTGGAAGGCTGCCATCCCCTTGACCTCCTGCTGTTTCTTGAGTGGGAATACTTATGCGCTGCGTTTCTGCCTGCCTGCATTGCCCCGCTTCTTCCGCGCCTGATCAACTGTAGAACGGTCCTGAAGCTCTCTCCATTCTTCCTCTGCCGTTCGCCGCCCCCCCCCCCCCCCCCCCGGGGTTGCACTCCGAGATGACCTGGCTGATGCTCCTCCTGGGTGCTCGGCAGATCCCTCCTAGAACCCGCTCCGAGATGACCTCGCCAATGCATCTCCTGGAGGGTCTGCAGCATCCGCCTGGATCGCTCTCCGAAATGACCTCGCTAATGCATCTCCTGGCTGCATGGGCGCAATAGTCTTCGGACGATCGAAAGCCCCCAGGAATTCCGCTCTCAACCGCCCTTTCCTCAAGCGCTCCATCAGCATGTTGCGGTCCACATATTTGTCTGCCCGCGGCTGTCTGCGCTTGCTCAAAAAATGAAATTGATGTTCCAGTCCGAAGCCGATGCCCAATTGGATATGGCCTCTATGTCCCCCACGTTGATTCTTCTGCAGCTTATGTTGCCACTCCTCTCAACGCAACACAGTTTCGTTCGTGTAGCAAGGCCCCCGTCGGCATCGCAACGTGATCGATACTGCTCGTCCGTAGCTTGCCGTCTTCGGCGCAGTAGTAAGTTGGTCCACTATCGAAGGCGGTGACCGCTGAACTTAGGCCGCGGACGCAAAACTACCTGAAAGCTGTACAAGTGTCGTTCTGCACCCCTTGAGCCGCCTGCCCCAATGCCGCTGCATATTCGTTCGAGCTGTGCCTGCTTACCACCAAGTCCCTGTTGCCCGTTTTGTGCATACCTAGTTGACTGTTGATGTCCCCTCCCACTATGATAATGTGTGTGCCGCCTGTGTCGTCGTACTTTTCCACCTAATTCAAACTTGCTGCTTATCCCAGTGTCTGTGTACCTTTTCTCTGGTGGCAAGTACGTGGCGAATATTGTGGCGTCGTAAGCTCTCGTACGTAGTCTCACCACCGCTGCTCTTCCTTGCAATCGCGCAGGTGGTGTGTACTTTGTATGGAAGGCTTTTCCTTCATCGTCTCGTTGGACACCAGGAGCGTCGTGCCGCATACCTTAGTAATCCGTTTCTCCTTATTTGCCCCAAGCTGCAGTGCCACATGGTTTCTATGATTCGTGTTCTTCATCTGCTCTGGCCCTGCCCACTGATTTCTCCCTGTCATCACATGCACACCCCACTCTTGTAGTGCACTGCTAATCTCTTCCAGCCTGTCCGTGGTACTTGCCGGCAATGGGTTGTAACATACCACTTGCGCAAATGCACAGATCGATAACAATGCATTGCCGTCGCTTTCTATATTGAGGCGGTAGTCGTGTGAAAGAGTTTCAGGAAAATCCTCCCTCCGTCGGTTCTCAAAGTGCCTGAGCCTCCAGCGCCGACTGAGGGGCAAGGAGGAAAAGGAGGAAGAGGAGGAGGAGGAGGAGGAGGAGGAGGAGGAGGAGGAGGAGGAGGAGGAGAACGACGAGGGCGGGCGGGCCTGGCACTGCCAGCTGCTGGCGGCGGGCGCGCCCTGCAGCGCACCGCCGCTCGGCGGCACCTGCTGCGACTGGGCGTAGTGCGCCTGCTGGCAGCCCGCCGCCGCCGCCGCCGTCGTGCGACCGAGGTTGCCGATGCGAGGCGGGGACGATTCGCGTCCTCTGCGACACTGGGCATCGAAGCGAAACTCATCCCCTTCGAGGCGGGCACGGCGTGTGCGAGCGGGATCGTGCTCTCCGTCCTGGGCACTCGGCTAGGCCTTCCTGTCTGCGTGCGGCTGTATCCATACCCACCGCCTTTGGGACCGACGTCTAGACTCCAGCAGGCGGTGGATATGAACACATGCTGGCACCAGGAGGGCCAGATCTATCAGTACCCCCCGCCTGTCGAGGTCCCCGAAGATCGATCCCCCAGGCGGTGGCCATGGATACACCACCCGCGTCGGACACTGAGGAAAAGGACGGCGGAGGAGGACCTGGATCAATCAGGGCAGGGATCCAACGGGGCCGATCTGTGGAAATACATCCAGATGCCGAGGCAAGCCAAGCCGCTGGAAACACATCCGGAGGCCAATTGCCGGAAACACATCCTGAGGCCGGCTGAATGAAACACACCCAGAGGCCGCGCGCCAGAAACACACATGACCACATGTGTTTCAAACTCTCGCCCAGGCCAGGACCTTCATGTTTATCCAGCTTCCAGGCAAGAATCGGAGTTCGAGGGTCATTGTTTGTAGCGTTGATCGATCTCCTGAGGCGCTCTCGTCACCACGGCCAGACCCGCCGCTAAATTCTGGTCAGGACGCACCCCAGACGAAGACTGGGCCTTCGTCGAGGTCGTCTCCGCCGGTTGAGGGGAGGATGATCGAGGATCAAAGCTCTTGTGCGCTGTCTGTCGACAGTGGCTTTTTGGGGCCCCGTCCCTCACGCATCTTCTAAAGTTGGCTGGGACAGGTTGCGGGGGTGCAGCGTGCTAATGAAGGTAGGCAGCGCCGTTCCAAATGTCACCTGTGAGATCTGCGGTCTCCGCACAAGCTTCGTGGCTCAAGCTATTATCGGCGGCGCGCCAGGGTGGAGAATGAGAGGGGGCGGGCCTCCTCAGAAGGCTAGTGAAGATTGGGCCTTCTGCTCAGAAGGCCGTAGGGCTTCTGAGAAGTCCCGCCGCCTTCTGAGAAGGCCTTCTCCGTCTCACGTCCCCCCCGGGCGCGCCACCGTCTTCATCGGTACACCTCCCAACTCACACGCGGCTGACACCGAATGTTTGGCGCGCCCGTCGCGGGACCTGATTGAGTCGACCCGTTGTGGAGAAATTCTTGAGTGATGGGTGGGCGGCTTGTCGGAGGTCGTCGTCCCAGAGCGCCGACACGGCGCAATTCGGAATTCTTGTCCTGCCGCTGTGGTGTCTGATCTAGGTCGTGAAGGACCCCTTGGTTGAGCCAGAAGACGCGTTCTACGCGGACGGCGCCCTGGAAGTCCAGATGCCCAGAGAAGTATAGTGTCATCGTTTCTATCGTCCGACGGCGACGGATGGCCTGGAGGCGCAGCTCGGGCGTCAGAGGTCGGTCTGCATCGACGGAGGTTCTGCACGATCAGATGGAAGGGACGGTGCCGCGCTACCGTCGGGGACATGCTGGACAGCAGGGGTTGGCGTTGAACCTGGGATACGTACTGATCAGTTCAGGCCGCTGGACGTTGAGTTTATCGTGCTCATGGAGGGCCTGAAGCCACTGGGCGCGGTGAACTACTCATTGGTGTGCTGGATTGCCCTGAGGACTACGTCGTGTCCGCGAAGGAGGCCTTTGTGGAGAGCTCGGAGGCGGTGCACGGGGAGATATATTCATTTCGGCGGGTAAAGGAGTGATTGCAGCAGCTCATGCCGCTCCAGCGCTGGTGCGCCTTGTTGGTGCCTCCGGTGCTGTTGCTCCTCTTGGCCAGGGGTGTCTACGAAATGTACCAGGCTGAGTCGCCCGGGGAGTCCTCGGCAGCTACGTCCTCGTGAGCTTCAAAGTCCGCGAGCAATGTGCGGGGGATCGCAGGCGCTGCGGTGCCGCCTCTCCCACCTCCCGTCAACGCGACGACGATAGACACGGCTTCGGCGGCCCAGCTCCAGCATCTGGCGGAATCGTAGAAGGCCCAAGCGGTAGCCCTGGAGCTCAGCAAGGTGAGGATCACGGAGCGGTCGAGAGAGCCGAGGCGCACCACCATGGCAGCGTCGGGGGCTGCTCGGGGCGAAGCGTCGCAAGAGGCCGACATCCTGGCCATCGAGGATATGATGACGCAGCCTGACACGCTCGAGGATCGGCTGCAGAGCTGCGCTGGGGAGGGCCCAGCGGCTGCGGAGCCCGCTTCAAATGTGGAGGCCCCGCCCTTGCCTACCCGCGGCGCCGGAGGCGCTGGTACCAAGACGCCCCAGAAGCGGCCCGCGGGTACGCAACTGGAGGCCTTGGAGTGTAGGCTTTCATGCGCATGAGGTTCAGAGCCCAACTGCCGCAGCAGGTGCTCCTGGTCGGCGGCGAGCCCGGGGGAGAGTGAGAAGGGGCGGCCCTTCTCGGAAGGCTCGGAAGTCCCCCCGCCTTCTGAAAAGCCTTCTGAGCTTTCCCAGAAGATGCAAAAACCTCGCAGAAGGCGCCAGGGTTTCTCAGAAGCCCCCCGCCTTCTCAGAAGGCCTTCTCCTTCTCACTTCCCCCTCCCCTCGCTCGCCGCCGACCGGGATTAGTTTGACGAACGCGTGGAGACCCTGGCGTCGGAGTGGAACACCAAGATTCAGACTCCATTCCCTTCCCTAATCGATAACTCCTCCGTCGCGCCCCGAGGCCGGTCGAAAGGGCGGGCCGGGCGTTTCGCCTCAGACTTCCTCATAATTTACGACCCTGAAACTTGAAGATTGGCCACAATTTCGCAAATGAAGGGCGAGTGGCTTGAGAAATGTAGCTCTCGCCTGAGCGCCGCGCACATTCGTCTTGAAAAAATTAAGGAATTTCACGGATGGAATGCGGGTGGTTTTCAACATGTGGTTCCCGCCTGAACACCGAGCGCATTCGTTTTAAAAGGATGCAGGAGATTCGTGGGTGGAGGGTAGCAACATCATCTTAAACATTACATTAGCTTCACGCAGTGAGGGCACCTCGTCTGGAAAATGTTGTTCTCGCCTCAGTGCTGCGCGCGTTTGTTTTAAAATCTACAAACTGTCCTCGGATTGATGGCGCCTCATTTTTAGAGCGCAGCTCTCACATCAGCGCCGCGCGCATTTGTTTTAACATTTGCGAAGATTTCACGGACTCCCATGGTCACCGTACCAAACATGTTGTTATGTTGTTTTGGAACGAATCAGGACGGTCAGCGCAACGGTTGGGTGGATTCGCGGTGCTGAAATCGCAGGAATCGCGTTCTGGCGCTATTACGGATCATCCGTTGACTCCCGACGTTGGAGTCCCGAACATGGTGTTGTGGCACGCTTCAGGGTCTTCAAACGGTTGCCTCCCCACGGGGCAATTCCCTCAGTGGAAGTGAAGCTTTGGAGGGGCCTATGGACAAGGATCTTAGGTGGGGGGGTGTATTCCAACATCGTTGATGAATCTTGGGTTTAAACTAGTCCTCCTCCTCCTCCTCCTCCTCCTCCACCTCCTCCTACACCCAAGATGGTCCCAGGAGGTCGAGCATGGGCTTAAGGTAGCCTCCGGCAGACCTCCAAAAGGTTTCGATACAGCCTCAAGGTGGCCCAGGATAGCTGAGCATGGCTCAAGATAGCCTCCGGCCTCCGACAGCCTGTGGCTGAGCAGGGTCCAGGGAGGGCTGTCTCCAAGAAACTTCACGAAAACGCCTTCAGTCGTGCCCAGATGGCGCAGGCGGAAGCGCCGGCGGCGAGCAGTCACGGTCGGGCTGCGGCCGTGACGAATTCCCGGGCGCGCGCGGGGGCCGCGGATCAGGCGGCGGGGCAAGCAGCAACCCAGGGCGTCTGAGAGGCCAGGCGGTCGCGCAAGCTGCAACCCAGGGAGTCTGAGGGGTCAGTCACCCAGGAAGCAAGGCGGACGCGGCCAAAATGGCGCGCCGCACTTTCCCAGTCATGGTCGTGACAACCGACAACCGCATGGTGGTGGGAACCAAACTCCGTGCGAGAAAGTCAGCCCAGGGAGTCTGACGGGTATGAGCAGACCGAAAGCGTAGCTGACGTCGTCCAGCAAGGAGGGGGATTCTGACAGCGCCAGCGAACCGTCGCAGCTTCAGAAAGCGCATCCACGGCTGATAGGGTGAGCCTGAGGTCAAAGCAACTGAGGCAACCACAAAACAACTGCTGAAAGATGCGCGTGCACGCAGAAGACCAGAGATATGGTGTGCCGCAGTGCAGAAGTACACGAGTACCCACCAGGTGAGGGACACACGGTCAATCGGAAGTGGGCGTGTACAACGACTAAGTGACAGCCAGCGCCTCGCAACCCACGCAACGCCAGGTCGAAGAAAGCGCTCGAAGGGGAAGAAACTGTCGTATACCCACGTCAGCAAGCCCTTCACGGTCACAGAGTCTCTATTTTTCCAGGGAGTGGTCGCACAACGAGGTTGCGCGTGGGAGCGACAAAAGGGAGACCGAGTGCCCGTCACACGCCGAGACCGTGCATCGCTGTCCACAGGGTGGCAAAGCACGGCCAACAGTGGGAGGCAGCATTGAACGGGGTCACGTCAACGGCCCAGTCAAAGTAAGGCGCAAGCGGACCAGGTGGGCATTCCGCCACCACGGCGGGGCGACCCACGACGACGGACTGCCTGTACCTCCGAGCCCAGTGTCGCTCCCAGGAGATGTAGACAGGCACGACTGAACGCCGTAGTAACTTGGGAAGCCCAGGGAATGAAACGTAACCCAGGGAGGCAGCTGAAGGCTGCTCAGAGTGTGGACTAAGGGAAACCCAGGGACCAGGTGTGAACTCCTGACTCTCTATGCAGCGAGGAGGCTAGAGACGTCGGTTCAAGTCAGCTGGAGGGGTCGGTTGCGCGACCAGGACGGAGGCCTCCACAGTCCGATCGACCCCCACGCAGCTGAAGGCTGCTCCTCTCTGTCTTGACGCGTCCAAGGGAGGGTGTTCGGCGGAGTGTG